GCTCATTATCTTGTTACCACTGGGCAACATGTTGATTTCTATGATCTCTCCTCCTACAAGTCACCACCTTAAGGTAAGTGTTTGTTGTTGCCAATGTATAGAATGGTAATTTCCAAGATTTAACTAACTTTTGGTAACTAAGTTGATACACATAATTCATACTGCCACCTGCAGCCATGCTGATGCCATTGATTATTGCTGCCTTTGCAAACCCTTTTGAAATTAATGAATGGATCTCTCATGCATTCCTATTGGTACTGTAAACCATATTGATGCATGTGGTCCTTCTTACCATCAGATAACATCTTGATTGCTTTCAATTCTCCATCCCCTCACACCTTATTTTTGTAAGTGTTCTGTATTGGCAATATGAAGAATGTATGTATCAAGAATTGAAATACTAACAGAAACTAAGTTAATATCCTGAATACATGCTGCTACCTCCAAGCAAGTTGAGGTCATTAAACCCAGCTGTGTCTCTTAAACATGTGCATGTCCATGATTGGAAGTACAATGCTATTCCTACTCCTTCTGGAAGCAATGTTTTTGCTCATGATCTTCCTACCACTGGACCCCAGGTTGATTTCCATGATCTCTCCTCTTACAAATGACAATATTAAGGTAAGTGTCTGTAATTCATGCTGCCACGTGCACCAATGCTGATGTCATTTACCGTTGTTGCCTCTGTTAATCTTTTTGATTTCTATGAAAGGGCCTGACAGGAATTCCTATTGTTTGTGTAAGCCATGTTGACTCATATTGTCCTAGTTACTGTGGGATAACATCGTGATTGCCATGACCTCTCTGCCCCCTTGTGACCATATTCATGGAAGTGTTCTGTGTTGCCTGCATGAAGAATGTAAATTTCCAAGGACAAAAATACCAACTGAAACTAATTTGATATCTGGACTACTTGTTGTCACCTCCAAACAAATTAAATCATTCATCCCTGCTGCATCTCTTAATCATACAGATGTCCATGAGCTGACATACCATAATATTACTACTATTTCTGGAATCCATATTGATGCCAGGGTTCTTTCTTGCCCATGGATCTGATGTTTATGTCTATCTGTCCTCCTACCTGATATCATGTTGATGTAAGAGTTCTGTCTTTCCAACATGAAGACTGTTAATTTCCCTGATCTCAACTACCAACATAAACTATGTGGCTATCCATTCAACATGCTACCACCTGAAACCTTGTGGATTTTATTGATCCATGCTGCTTTTGATACCCATATACATGTCCATGATTGGAACTATAATGCATTTTCTACTACTTCTGGTATCAGATTGATGCTCATGGTCTTGTTAACCACTGGATATCATGTGGATTTCCATGATCTCTGTTTCTACAGGTGATGATGCTAATATAAGTGTTCCTTGTTGCCAATGTATAGAATGGTAATTTCCAAGATTTAACCAACTTTAGGTAACTAAGTTATTCATGCTGCCACCTGCAGCCATGCTGATGTCATTGATCACTACTGCTTTTGCAAACCCTGCTGATATTAATGAATGGAGCTCCCCTGCAAGCCTATTGGTTTTATAAGCCATGTCGATGCAGGTGGTCCTTTATGCCATGGGTTAACATAATCTTTGCCATAAATTCACCAGCCCCTTATGGCCATATTAAGGCAAGTGTTCCCTTTTGACATTATGTAAAATGGTAATTTCCAAGATTTAACAAGCATCAGTAACTAAGCAGATATCCCTAACTCATGCTGCAATCTACAAACATGTGGATGTCATTGATCCCTGTTGCCAATATTAACCCTTTTGTTGTCTATGAATGTACCTCCAATGCATTCCTATTGGTTCTGTTGATGCATGTGGTCCTTATTACCATGGGATAACACCTCCATTGCTTTCAATTCTCCATCTGCTTATCACCTTATTTGTGTAAGTATTCTGTGTTGTACATATAATGAGTGTAATTTCCAAGAATTGATCTACTAGCAGAAACTAAGTTAATATCCTGAATACATGATGTTACCTCCAAACAAGTTGAGGTCTTTAAATCCAGCTGAGTCTCTTAAACATGTGCATATCTATGGTTGGAAGGGAAATGCTATTCCTACTCCTTCCGGAAACAATGTTGATGCTTATGATCTTACCACTGGGCACCAGGTTGATTTCCATGATCTCTTCTGCTACAAGTCATCATGTAAGGTAAGTGTACCTTTTTGGCAATATATAGACTAGTAATTCCCCAGATTTAATGAACCTTTTTTTAACTTAGCTGATATTTGTATTTCATGCTGCCACCTGCACCCATGCTGATGTCATTGACTCCTGCTGCCTCTGTTAACCTTGATAATGTTTATGAAACTACCTGTCTTACATTTCTATTGTTTTGTAAGCCATGTTGATGCATGTGGTCCCCGTTAACATGGGATAACATCTTGATTGCCATTACCTCTCTGGCTCGTTATGACCATATTAATGTAAATGTTCTGTGTTGCCATCATAAAGAATGTAAATTTCTAAGAACAAAAATACCAACTGAAACTAAGTTGATATCTGGATTACTTGCTGTCACTTCCAAACAATTTGAATTTATTCATCCCTACTGCTTCCTTTAGACATTAATGTCTGTGAGTAGACATATCATGCTTTTGCTACTATTTCTAGAAGCATGTTGATGCCAGGGTTCTTTTCTTGGCCATGGATCTGATGTTGATGTCTATCAGTCCGGCTACTTTGGACTAGGTTCTGTCTTTCCATGATGAAGAAAGTTAATTTCCCTGCTTCCATCTACCAAAGTAAACTATGTGGCTATCCTTTCAACATGCTGCTACCTGAAAACTTGTGGATTTTATTGATCCCTGCTACTTCTTTTATCCATATGGATGTCCATTTTTAGAACTATAATGCTTTTCCTACTTCTGGTAGCAGTGTTGACACTCCTGCTTTTGTAAACAACTTGACACCATGTTGGTTTCCATGATCTTTCCTGATACAGGTATTTATGTTAATGTAGGTGTTACTTATTGCCAATGTATAGAATGGCAATTTCCAAGATTTAACCAACGTTTGGTAACTAGTTGATACACATTATTCATGCTCTCACCTGCAGCCATGCTGATGTTATTGACCACTGATGCCTTTGCAAACCCTGTTGATATTAATGAATGGAGCTCCCCTGTATTCCTATTGGTTTTGTAATCCACGTTGGTGCAGGTGGACTTTTTTTTATCATGGGCTAACATCTTGATTGTCATAAATTCTCTAGTCCCTTATGACCATATTAAGGCAAGTGTTCCTTTTTGGCAATGTGTAGAATGGTAATTTCCAAGATATATCAAGCATTGGTTAATAAACAAATATCCATATTTCATGCTGCCACATCCTACCATGCTGATCTCATTGATCCCTTTTACTACTGGTAACCCTGTTGATTTCTATGCATGTACCTATAATGCATTTGTTGTTTCTGTAAGCCATGTTGAAACATGTCCTTATTACCATGGGATAACACCTTGATTGCTTTCAATTCTCCATCACCTTATCACCTTATTTATGGAAGTGTTCCTTTACCCATATGAAGAATGTAAATTCCAAGAATTGATATACTAACAGAAACTAAGTGAATATCCTGAATACATGCTGCTACCTCCAAACAAGTTGAGGTCTTTAATCTCAGCCTAGTCTCTTAAATATGTTCATGTCCATGATTGGAACTATAATGCTATTCCTACTCCTTCTGGAAGCAATGTTGATGCTCATAATCTTCCTACCACTGTGATCTTTCCTTCTACAAGTTACCATGCTAATGTAAGTGTTCTTTTTTGGCAACATATTGAATGGTAATTGCTAAAATTTAATGAACCTTTGTTACTTAACTGGTGTCTGCAATTCATGTTTACATGTGCACTCATGCTGATGTCATTGACCCCTGCTGCCTCTGTTTACCTTGTTGATGTCTATGAAAGGACCTGCTGGGCATTCCTTTGGTTCTGTAAGCGATGTTGATGCATGTGGTCCTTGTTTTAATGGGATAACATCTTGATTGCCATGACGTCTCTGGCCTCTTATGGCCATATTAAGGTAAGCATACATTTTGCCAACATGAGGAATGTAAATTTTCATGATCTGAAATACCAACTGAAGGTAAGTTGATATCCGGAATACTTGCTGCTACCTCCATATAAATTGAATTCATTTATCCCTGCTACATCTGGTAAACATGTGGATGTCCAGGATCCATTGTCTTATGGAATTTCTGGCATTACTAGAAACCATGTGGATGCCTGTGGACCTTCTTGCCAGTATATTCCATGTAGATTTCCTTGAAATCTTGCCACCTGTGAGAATGCCAATGTTAAGTGTTCTGTGCTCTCAATGTGAAGAACATTAATTTCCAAGAATTTAACGACCAACTGAAACTATGTTGATATACAAAATACATGGTGCCACCTCCAAACATGTTGAAGTCATTGATCCCTTCTGCCTCTGTTGGACATATTGGTGTTTATGATTCTAATTATGATATTCCTAGTACATTTGAAATCCATGATGATGCCCATCATATTTGTACCAGTGGATACCATATTGTGTTTTGTGATCTCTACTGCTGTCTTTACCTTGTTAAATTAAATGTTCTCTCACCAACATGAAGAATATTAAGTTCCAAGATTTAACAATTGAAATGTTAAGTTCCAAGATTTCACTAATCTTGGAAACTAATTTTATATCCATAATTCTTGGTGTCATCTGAATCTATGATCATTTTATTGATCCCTCTTGTCTCTGTTAACCATGTTGATGCCTATGATCAGAACTTCCATGCTATTCTTATTCCTTCTGGAAGCCATGTTGATTCCCCTGCCCCTTGTAACCTCTGGATAACGTCTTGATATTGGTGACCTGTGTGGTCAATTATGACCATATTAAGATAAATTTTCTGTTATTCCAACATGAACAAAGTAAATTTCCAAGAATTCAACTATCATCTGAAACTAAGTTAATATCCATGATCCATGCTGCTGTCTATAAACATGTTGATGCCATTGTTTCCTGCTCCCTCTTAACGGTTTTGATGTCCATGATCAGACATTCCATGCTATTCCTACTATTTCTGGGAGGCATGTTAATGCCTGTAGTTCTTCTTGCTGCTCAATATGAAGTTTATATCTATCTTTCCTGCCATTGTTTTGTGAATGAGAACAATGTTAATTTTCAAGATTTAATGTGCAGTCTGAAAATAAGTTGATATCTATGATTCATGCTGCCACCTGCAACCATGTTGATGTCATTGATCCAACTCTGTTAATCAAATTGATGTCTAACATAGGCCATCATGCTATTCCTGCTTCTTCTGGAAGCCATGTAGATGGCTGTGGTCCTTCTTAACCACTACATACATTGTTGATGTCCAATAACTCTCCTGCCCCTTGTGACTGCAATAAATTATTGTTCTGTGTTACCAACATGCAGAATGTTAATTTGCAAGATTAAACACACTATTAAAATGTAAGATGAAATCCATAATTCATGATGCCACCTGAACCATGTTGATGCCATTGATCCCATGTGCCTCTGTTAACCAAATTGATGTCCATTATTGAATGACTTACCATGCTCTTACTACTATTTCTGGAAGCCTTGTTGATGCTTGTGGTCTTTCTTACTGTAGATATGACATTGATGTCCATATCCATGGAGATATTCTGCTACCTGAGACCCTACTGATGCAAGAGTTCTGTGCTGCCAACGTGATGAATGTTAATTGCCATGATCTCAGCTACCATCTGAAACTGGTGATATTTACATGCTACCACCTGCAACCTTGGGGATGACATGGATACCTGCTGTTCTCTTTATCATGTTCATGAGCTTTCCTATGCTATTCCTATTGGTTTGAAGTCCATCTTGATGCCTTATGTTACGTTTTGCTCCTGGATAAGGTGTTGATGTTGATGTCCATGTTCTGTCCTGCCACCTGAGACCACATTGAGGTAAGTATTCTGTGCTGCCCATATGGATAATGTTGATTTTCTTGATCCCACATGCCATGCAGAACTAATTTAATACTCCTGATGCATGCCACTGCAGGAAATCATGTTGATGTCACTGTTCTTTGCTGCATCTTCTAACCATGTTGATGTTCATCATCCAACCTACTGTCCAAACTTTGTTGATGTTACTGATCTATGTTGTAGCTGTCAACCATGTTGAAGTTACTGAACTTTGCTACCACCTGTAACCACATTGATGTCTGCAGTGTTCAGTGTCATTGGAAACAGTGTTGAAGTCAATTGTCCATACTGCTACCTTAGACCCAGTTCAAGTAAGTTTCCTGTGTCCCTCATGTGTACAATATTGATTTCTATGATGTGTCTGCCACCTGAAACTAAGTTGATATCCATGATCTATACTGACACAGGCAACCATGTTGATGTGAGTGATTCTCGCTGCCTCTCTTAACCTTGCTGATGTCCATGATTCAACCTGTCATCTGAAACTTTGTTGATGTCACTGATCTTTACTGTTGCTGTCAATCATGTTGATGCTACTGAAACTTGCTTCCACTTGTAACCATACTGCTGTTTCTAGTCTGTTATAATCTGTGACAATTCTGAAATCAATGGTATATACTACCACCTGAGACCCACTTCTGGTAAGTGTCCTGTGTTGACACTGTATACAATGTTGATTTCTGCGATTTGTCTGCCACCTGAAACTAAGTTGATGTTTATGATCTGCCACAGGAAACCAACCATGTTGATGTCACTGATCTTTGTTCCCTGTTTTGACCATGTGGATGTCCATTATCTGACTTAACATCTGAAATTATGTTGATGTCACTCATTCATGGTGCCGCTGATAACCATGTTTATGGCCATAGTCTTTGTTGGAATCTTAGACCTTGTGAATGTCCATTGTCCATGTTGCCACCTGAGTCCATGATGATGACCATGATGACTTTAGTCTGTGCTGCTATCAGCCATAATGTCGCTGCCTCTGATTGGTGCTGCTACTGGGGACTAGGTCAATATGAATGATCTGAGCTGCCAACAGAAAATATTTTGACATCATTAAGCCATCCTTGTGCTGGAGACCATGTTGAAATCTTTGTCCTTGATGCATCCAAATACTATGTTTATGTTCATGCTCTGGGTTGCATGCTGAAGACCAGTTGTATATCCATGACCCAGCTGCTGATGGAGACTGTGTCGATGTCTGTGGTCAGTACTGCCACAAGAAGACATCCTGATAGTGATCTGTGATGCCTCCCTCAAACATGTTATGTTGGTGATCTGTGTTGATGTCCTGGACCAGATGGATGACAGTTATCCAAACTGTCACCAGAAATCTTGCAGACCATGATCTGTGCTGCTCCTGGAAACCCTGTAGAAGTCTATGATTCAGTCTGCTGCTGGAAACCATGTGTAAGGCCTTGATCTGTACTGCCACTGACTTCGAAGGGCAAGGAACTTCTTTTGCAGTAGTATCAATGACTGTAGAATCATAACTGAAATTCAGATGGACATTGAAGGCTTCTGTGCCACCATCCCTCCAAAAAAGAAAATCTAGACAGGATCTTATTGGAGAGTTTTTGAAAGTTGTAATAAAAATACTTAACTGTAGCTTTTCACAGTTGATGGCTTCAGGCAGGGGTTGGTAAAGAACTCCTTTTTAAAGGGCTGGCTACTGCAAGTTTGCCCATGCTCCAATGAGTATAAGGAGAACACCAATTGGACTTGTTATATTGTATTTTTTCTATTCTGGGGAAGGATGCCACAAGGGTGAGAGGGTGTACCTGGGAGGAACGGGAATCAAGTGTGATTGAGGTATGTTGTATGACATTCTCAAATGATTAATAAAATATTAAGTTGGGAAAATAAAAAAGTGTGAAATAGTATGTATTTTAAATTTGGCCTACAACTGATTGCTTATTTTAACTATATGACTTGAACCAGAGCCTAACTATCTTAGCCATTTTTCTGGTGTGTAGATGTAACCAATCGTCTTATTAAAATAAGAAACACAGAGCCAATGTAAAAGAGAAAGCAGAGAGGTCAGAGCTCAGAGATAAAAATCTTACCTCCTGCAGTGCTCCTAGCTTCCCCGAGAGAGCTTCTTCCTTTTTGTCTGTCTTTAAATAGTCTTTCTGTTTGCCTTCTCATTGGTTGTAAACCCAACCACATGACTGCCTCATCACTGCCTGTAAGTACCGCCCTCCAGGTCTTAAAGGCGTATGTCTCCAATACTGGCTGTATCCCTTAACACACAGAAATCTACCTAGCTCTTCTAACCACCACGCTCTTGCTATGGCTCTAATAGCTCTGACCCCAGGGCAACTTTATTTATTAACATA